ACCGTCGCACAAGTCAATTATTCTGCAGTGACCGATGGAGAGGTAAGGAGCTGGGTCAGCGTGTGCACGGCAGAATTGTCCTGTCCGGACTTTGATAAAGTTAAATTCTCTACAATTAAGTGGTCACAGAAAGCACCAAACCTCGCTACTCTACCCTGCAGCGTTAATCCTTGGGAACACAACGTATCATGTGTGGTTTAATCCTCCGCGCTGGTTTGCCATTCAGTGTTGGGAGTGATGTCTGGGGCATTTGGGGGCGTTTTGGTTAGCAAAACACGTTGCATGGCTCCAGACAAAGTGGGACTGGTTCCCTGCTGCAGCTTTTAGAGAGGTTTGCAAGCGAATCCCGGAGAGGGCTGTATAAATGCGCATTAGTGCAGAGATGATGAGAGACACTGTAGAGCATCACGCTGTTGCTTATTTTTCTTCCAGGAATTTAAAACTTGGCAGAGTTTTTTCTGTTGAAGATTTGATCATGCCATTTCAGACTTTTAAATGTAAACACTCGAGCTGCAGGTAGTTTGCTGCTGCTTGGCTACGCGCTGGATTTCTGGCCGAGGAGCGTCTGGCGAGGCCCGGCTGCGGCGCTCGGTGCACACGGGGCTTTCGTGGCGACAGGTGGCAGTGCAGAACAGCTTTGCCCGACTCGAGACCGTATTTCTATCCGAGAACCAAAGGGACATAGCCTGGTGTCGGGGGCTGCGGCCTTGAAGGACTTCAGAGCTGCTTTGAGGGTGGCAGAACCGCCTGTGTGTCTTGAGACCCGAAAGGAAAAGCTCAAAAGCCCCGATAGGAATTGGATGCCTGCGTTCCCCTGATTTCTTATGTGAATTAAATGTTTAAGTGATACCTTGGACAAAATAAAGATATGAAAGCAAACACGGGCACGCCGTCCCCGTGCTGGCAGTCTCTCTGGATAGGCTGTGTCCTCGCTGTGCAGGAATCGGGGTTGCGATGCTGCCCGAGAGCAGGCGCGGGGCAGAGCTGCTGCGTCGCGTCTCGGCGTTAGCACGGAGAAGCACGTGGATAATGCTTCTTTTCCAGGCTCTGCTGCTTCCCTGTGACACGACTTAGCCGTCTTTGCAGGGCCTTGCACGTCACAGCGGAGAGCTGCTGTATTGTCAAGTGTGTGTTACCATGTGTTTGAAAAAATGCATGTTTGTTCCCCGCTCAGGGTCGCTTTAGTTTGGTTCTGGCCTGTGTGCCACAAACCTGATCTGTGCCTCCACCATCTGCAGTTTCTCCTTCTGTGGGCGCTCAGGCTACACCGCATCGTTCTGAAAGACGGTGTCTTCTCTAAAATGAGCTTCCTCTCTCCTTTTCTTATTTTACCCCCTCCTTACTCCCTCCTGGCTTTGGATCCTCCTGGGAAGGATCATCTCTGGGGCCAGGCAAGCAGAGCAGTTTCTTGGATATCAGGCTGCTGGTGATGGCTTGAGTGAGGAGCCTTGAGCCAGCCCTGCTGCTATGGACTCGTTGGCTTCCTCCATTATAACAAATCGAGGGATTTCTTTTTCATCGCTTTCTGGGATCTCCCTATTAGTGTGTGCCAGAGTCTTAGCAAGATGATGAGTGGCCTGGAATGTTTATGGGGATGGGAAGAGAGACAGGGGAGAAAAGATCTTCCTGCAAAGCAACAGGTAGGATTTGTCCGCTTCTCTAGACTTTGGATCCAGGGCTCCTGGCTGGTTTGCATCCTGGTGGGGTTTTGACCGCACACTCCCTGTCTCATGAGTGGTGAAGTCCCAAACACACTAGCAAAGGTTGAGTGGAAAGTGAGAGGCTGGGGCTGGGTGATCCTTAAGTGTTATGAGCTCTGTCTGTGTAAAGGTGTGAAGTCAAGGAATTTAGAGTGCCTAAAGTACATGAACCAAGTTGCTTCTTCCTACCATTTGCTTATATTAGTTGTACGAGCACAAAAATTCCAGGTAGGGCTTTGTGCCAAGTGCTGTACAAATAAACCCTAAATGAGAACACAGTCTGTTTCCCCAAAATGACAACAGACGGATGCAGACAAGCAGGTCCTAGGGGTAAGATGCAGCCCTCTCGGTCGTGGGGTGGATCTGTGCTGGGGTTTCAAGCTCCACGGAAATGCACCTGCCCAGACTGATGGATGGGGATCCGAGCACAGCTCCGAGCTCACCTGTGCTGGACCTGGCCAAAAAAGAGGGATTTGAAGGGGGTCGAGGTGCCCCAAACATTAGGGGAAATGCCTCCCACGTATGTGAGGAAACATAGGCTCCCCTTTGAAGCCGGAGCATATGGAGAACAGCAGCTAGAGTCATGGGCTGATTAAAAATTTATGGCTGCGAGAGGATTGTAGGGTCCAAAGATGTTCCCAGGTGGCTCCCCAGCTTCTTCCCCTGAGGCCCTCTTTCCTGATCGGAGTCTCTCGGAGCACACGCAGGATTCTGCAGAGACGTCTTCAGCCAACCCTGCTCCATCACCGTAGGAAGCAGCCGTCCATTTGTGGGATGCCTTCCTATCCCAGCGCCTGTTTTTGTGTTTTCCCCCCCTAGGTGGAGCAGAACTGGGCAACGCTACAGGGGGGCGAGATGACCATCCAGACGACGCAGGCATCGGAGGCCACGCAGGCAGTGGCATCGCTGGCGGAGGCGGCAGTGGCAGCATCTCAGGAGATGCAGCAAGGAGCAACTGTTACCATGGCACTCAACAGGTAGGGCCGAGCAGAGGAGATGTGAAAAACATCTGCACATGCTTCCTCCAGCTTTAGATCATACCCAACGGCACAAAGACCGCGGCCCACGAGGCCGGTAGAGGCTTTTCCAGAGCGAATTACTTGTTCACCCAGGAGTCCACAGACTGTTCTCGAGTTCCTTTGTAGCCGCAGGAGTGCGCTGAAATGGAAATCTGTTGGAAAAATAGGGGTGGTAACCATATCCTCTAGAGATCTTGTTTGTGCAGCGAGGGTCCAGTTACAGAAGTAAGCTTGTTAGGCAAGCAAGAGCCACCATGTGCTAAGAGCACCTTTTAAGTACGCTGGTCTCGTTCTCCTTCCATATTGTTAATGGTCCCTTATTATGAGGCTTAAAAAAGGCTGAATTTCCCTGTTTTGTGGCAGCATAGTGTCTCCAGGATTCAGAATCTCTCCCAAAGGCCGGTATTTCTGGTGTTTCTCCCAAAATGTGGTTCTGGAGCAGATGTTGAAAGAGCTGCAAGCTAATGCTGCCTCTTCATTGTGAAGAGGGCTCGGTTAGATGTTTTGGTGGTACCCAGTGTTTCCCATGGCCTGTGCTGTGCGGATCCGTGCAGCTGGAAGCAGCGTCTTTGCTCAGCTCCAGGGAGTTGCTTAAGCTTTCCCTGCTGTTCCCAAAGCTGGAAGCAGAGGTGACCTCCTGTAGCTGCATCCCAGGAGGGCAGGAAAAGTGTGTGACCAGCCCCAGCAGCGTGGAAGGTTTCACGCTGGTGAGGGGCTGGCAAAATATTGACTTCATCCAGATCAGGATTCTGTGGCAGCTGTTGGCTGAGCAGTCAGGGACGTTCAGCAGCTTCCTTCCAAGTTGCTACTGCACGTGAATCGAGAACAAATCTAGAACTGCTTCTTCTGAGCATCAGATATGTTATTTTCTGCTACTTTCAGTCAATGTGGATGATTAAGTGGTTTTGTTTTTTTTACAAATAGTTCCACTGTAAAAGTAAGATTAATCTTTCCAGGAGATTCTAAAGCAACTGCTCTCAGGTTTGAGGATGGGAAACATCAGGCCTCCTAGTAGGAAAGGAGAAGGTAGGGGAGGGTAATTGATCCATTGATTTGAACTAATTAATGTTTGTGGAGCACACTGTAACTGGAAAAAGCTTTTATGCAGCAGATCATTATTATTTTCAGGGATGCAACTGTCACAGATGATTAGAATACTAAATTGCCCTTGAAAATCGATTCAAATAAATGCTGGATGAGGCCTGAGAAATAGGGTTACACCAGTAAATCCGTGTTTTCCCTCAAGTTTGCTGTGTGCAGCTGGCCTTCCTGCACTGTAACTGCTGCCACAGAGCTGCAGATTCACCGGAGAGATTAACCAAGGGAAATAGGAAGACAGGACAGCAAAATATTCTGGTTCCGTAGCAAAGTTTAAGAGTTGCTGTTTAAAAATAAAAATACACCCTGCATGGATTCAGCTGGAGAGTACCAACCGTTTAAGCAGGAAAGAGAAGCAACAAGTAGGAAATCCTTATAAAATACTTGTATCAAATGATCTACAGAGAGCAAGTTAGAGAGGAGTGTTCTAGAGGAAGCTACATGAGTTCTTTGGTCTCTCTTCCATAGGAAAGGCTAAAAAAATATCAACTTCTCAGTTCATTAAGGTGAGGAGTGGTGAGAGATTCAGCTAACGATGAAGGTGGGTTTGGAGTAGGTTGGTGAATAGTAGTAGGTCACCAGAAGTAGCTAATAGTGATCCAGGAAGTCTGGAGAAATCTGAGCACCTGCTGAAGGATCCTTGCAGCTCTTACTGTGCAGCAAAATGACAAATAAAATCTGCTGTCAATAAATGCCAAGTAATACACACAGGAAGAAATATCTCTTATATATTCAGCCAAGTGCTCAGAAAACTATCCTGCAGGAGTCTTGGACGGTTGCACTTCAGCTTGGGAAAGGGATTATTGGGAAGTCCATAAAATCATGGGAAAAATGAAAATGCAGAATCGGAGTTCTGCAATATCAGAGGTCTTGCAGTATCAGAGTTCAGGACTGCCTGGCAAAACTGAGGAGATAGTTTCCAGACTACCAGAATCCAACGTTTTTATCCCCACAGCACCTAGTTTAATGTGGAACTCACTGCCACAGGATGTTGTGGAAGCAAAAAGTAGAGGTGGGTTCAGAGGGGATTAGATCAATCAAACCTGATGCAGGAAGTCGATGCACTGTGGACTGCTGGAAGCCAAGAGGGTGCAGGAGGGCAAGGATCACACGCTGCTTCCTAAACACCTGACATTGCTGCATGAGAGGGACCCTTGGTCTAACCTCATTCGTATGAGGAAGTTTAAGAACGCGGTGAATCCCAGCTCTTTGGGTGTTCTTATTTGTTTGCCGTTGACTTCTTTGTTTGTTCTTCGTCCTAACTCGTCCTCCTCCCCGTGTCCGCAGCGAAGCGGCCGCCCACGCCGTAGCCACGCTCGCTGAAGCCACCCTGCAAGGCGGAGGGCAGATCGTCCTGTCTGGAGAAACTGCAGCAGCGGTGGGAGCGCTCACCGGCGTCCAAGATGCCAACGGTAAGACCCAGGGAAAGCGTTGGCCAAATATTCTGGTTTCCCTCTACTCTCAGATAGGTTTTTTCCCTCCTTCTGCCTTGAGATGTCGTGATATTGCCCGTAATAACGTTCTACCTCGCTGCAGGGCATCGTTAACTCGGGTGTGATTTAAAAGCCCGGGACTAAATGGTAGCAGCAGCCTATTTGCTTCCATGGGGCTGGTGACTGGGGTGTTCTACCCCTTCTGCCAGCTTGCTGCTCACACCATAGTTTGGAGGGAAAGGTTGCTCTCCACCCTATATCTTTACAGTGCCTAGCAGCAGAAGGCCACACATTTGTTGACCAACAGTTGTTATAACAAACTTGGCTCCAAAATACTTCCCTGCGGAGTGGCAGAGAATCTAGCCCAAGTTTTATTACCCACTTCCTTCCCTTCTCTGCGTTTTTTTTGTGTTGGCTGCTCTTGGAAAAAGCTGTTGCTTTTCTGCCTGGATAACACTACTCGGTCACCCATCAGCAGTGCAACCTTGGGCAGTTTTCCTCGTCGTTTTTCAGCTTCCACTATCTACAGTGACATTCTAGGGATTTTCTCTAGGATTTCTCAGCTACTTTTGAACGTCTCTTTTGCCAAGTCTGGTGACTTGTAGTCATTCAAACGAAGCTACTAGTGAATAAATTGGTGTCTTTGTGAAAACTGCTGCAGAGACTGTCGCAGACCGTGCTCATCCCTGTGATGCTTTTACCGAAGCTTCCAAGTTTAGGGAAGAAACTCGCTGCTTATTTGGATGAAATGGAAGCAGAAAGGTCAAAATCAATTCTGAAAGGGTGCCAACTGTGCAGCTGAAAAGAAACATTGCCCTGAGGATGGGGATATTTGAGCTCTAATTACCCAAGGGGGAAAAGCATGTGCAGCCAGGTGGCAGAGACAGGACTTGCTGCCTTGTCACCCTGCTTGGGAAGCAGAAGTCTCTCCAGATCCGAACTGGAGTTTGACTTCCAGGGAAATCCTCCTCTTGTAGGGAACGCATTCCTTTTAAAGCAGCACCACTAAGTTGGCAGTGAAAAAGGGGCGGCTGGAGGGAGGGATAACTTCTCCCCAGCACGTTCCAGGTTTTTGCTGTGGAGTCAGCCAGCCTGAAGAGGGAGCAGAAATGAAGTGAAAACCCGACGTGCAGAGCGAGGAATGCAGCTGGTCCGGAGGAAGGAGGGGAGTCGGGTGGCATTAATGCTCTGCTGGCAGCAGGTCACAAGGGACACGGGGAATGGGCGCTTATTGAAGGAAGGATCTGAGCCTGGATACTCAAAAGCGGCAACTAATCAGATTTGCGCCAGCGCGTTAGCATCTTTTTAAGAAGAAAAAGTGGGTTAGCAGATCTGCACCTCTGCCCCCTCCGCAAAGTGTTTTCAAGGTCTGAATTCCTCTGAACGCTTCCCTGGACCACTGTCCTCCGCCACCCCCTTCTAGGACCTGCCTCACTCCACCTCATTCATCCAGCATTAATATCTCTTTAATGCAAGCTGGGGTTTTTTTGCTGTTGTTTTGCTATTTTTTTTTTTTACAGCAGAGTTGGAAATCAGATGGGATTTAGAGTGCATTAAGGGGAGAGTCGGCAGCATTTTCCTCGATGCGCGCAGCCCCTCTCCTCGTTTCCAGCCCTCTTCGATTTGCTCTAATCTCCGGTGGTATTAAAGGGAAGGGCTTTGTCTGCGCGCTAGTCCTTGGGAGCGCCGCGCTGCTGGTTTTATTACGTAACCAGCTAATATATCTCCCTTAGGGAGG